ACAACCCAGATCAGAAGTCTTCCAACAAGCCTTATGATTCCAACCTCCTTTTATAGGTTGCATACTCACCAGCTTTGCCTCCCTTTTCTGGTGGAATTCACTGTTAAATAATTTGTCCCTTTTCTGATGGAATGTAGTGCTAGACTCCTAGACTCTTAGAATGATTGATCTTCTGTAGGTGTAAATTAGTGCCTGCCTTCCCATAGTCATAAATGGTATGTCAGGTCATTTATAACAGATCTGAGCTGTTCATTAAAGTTGGCCGGTCCCATCTTGGCACTGTTCTTGCACTTCTTAATAATGTAATTTCTATGCAAAGCATACTTTTCCTCACTTGCCCCTTCTGTTCAAAGCAGCTGCATGAATTATTCTTCCTAGCAGTTTTCTGTTTCCCAGTTGCTCCAGCCAAACTTAGAACAGTCTGTTCAGAGGGCCGGGGGAAAGGAAGCACAGGGAGAATTACACATCATTCTCACTACTTTTCCCTTTGTGTGGGAGAACAATAGTAGCATTTCTCAACAACAAAGAAAGATGCAACCTTCACATGCACATTGTACAAGTCATACAGCCTCTCCAAAAGCAAACCATATCCATGTGTTAACATTTCTCCAGTTACGCTATTTACACCTACAACTTGACATTCAACATTCTCACAGCATTAACAACTCTGTATTTTTTTCTTGCATACTCGGATGTACAGCATTTGCTTCACTCCCAGTCTTTAACATTCTCATCCAAATCTCTAAAATATTCCTTTCTGCATTCCCTCACTTTAGTTTCATCCCAGGTAATTTCATCATTTTCATTTTTAATCCCATTCACTCTGTTGGCAATGGTTTCTTTAATCCATTTCATCCCATTCTAAAACAATTCTTTTGTTTCCATCAAAATCACTCTGCAATGTCTTTGCTTCTTTTAATTTTATCCATTCTGCAGTTTTTTCTTTCTATATATTCTCAAATGTCTTTCTCTCATCCTCATTTTTTTTGCAGCAATCATGCTGTGATATGTGCCTTTCCCCATCCACAGTCTTTTTGTCTTCATTGGTTCCCATCCAATGACTTGTTGGAATAGATTGTGCAAAGGACCTCAGAATTCTGTCCATCTGCCTTACCTGTCAACAGGATAACACTCTGAAAACAGAATCAACTGGTACCAAGCTAGGTATGGCAGGAGAAGCCAACAAAAGAAAGATCAAATTCAAAAATGGGGCAGATCTGAGCCAGGGCTGTGGAGGAAAACCTCTAGCAAAAAATTCCCCAATGCATCACTGTGGGAGGCACAGTTGGGTAGTGGCACAGAATGCCGCCAGGTGCTATATTCCAAGCCAGTGTTTCTCAACCTTGGCAACCTGAAGACATGTGGACTTCAATGCCCAGAATTCCCCAGCCTGATGTTGCAGATATTCCAATGAATATGCAATGCTCTTGCAGCAGCTAACCAGGTGGTCCACTGTTTCTTCAGCTTCTTTGCAGAGGCGGCATTTGTTGTCTGTTGCTGTCTTCTCAGTTCTGGCTTTGTATGCATTTGTTCTTAAGTCTTGGTCTTGTGCAGCCAGAATTAGCCCCTCTGTCTCTTTCTTCAGCTTTCCTGCTCTTAGCCATTGCCACATCTTATTGTTATCTGCTTTTTGTTGTCTGTTGCTGTCTTCTCAGTTCTGGCTTTGTATGCATTTGTTCTTAAGTCTTGGTCTTGTGCAGCCAGAATTAGCCCCTCTGTCTCTTTCTTCAGCTTTCCTGCTCTTAGCCATTGCCACATCTTATTGTTATCTGCTTTGCCTGTTAGGTTTTTTTGTGTACTGGCCATGTAATACTTTTCCTTGCCATGTCTCTGTTCTATTCTTCATTTGGCCTTTCTTGCAGGCCAGTTTGGTCTCTTCAGTATTCAGTAAGCCTTCATGGTATACTAGTTTCAGTGCATCTTCTTCACTGTCCTTCAGATATTCTTCCAATGCCCTTTTTTCTTCTTCAATTGTCTGGTGTACTTGCAACATTCCACAGCCACCTATGGTCCTTGGTAAGTAGAGTCTGGCAATGTTACTGCATGGATGAAGGGCATGATTCATTGTCATCATTTTTCTGGTCTTCCTATCCAGAGCTTCTAGTTCTGCTTGAGTCCAGTCCACTATTCCAGCTGTGTATCGAATGACTGCAATTACCAGGTGTTAAATTGCCTTGATGTTATTTCTCCCACTGAGTTTGGACTTTAAGATCTTCTTCACTCTCATGATGTATTCACTACTAACCTTCTTGACTTCAATGTGCTTGATGTTGTCAGCTTGAAGGATGCCCAGGTATTTGTAATATCTTCTTCATTCAGACTCTTGATGTTATTTCCATAGGGCATCTTGATCAGTTTTCGAATGTCTTCTTGTAATCAATCCACGCTGCATTCAAGTTGGTCTTCCTTCTCTTGCAGTTTTTCAAAATCATATTGTCAATTAGAGCTGATCTTTTGTTCATCTGCTGTTTGGGCAGTTTCCTTTCTGCTCAGGTGGAAAGAGCTTGTTTTCAAGTAGATGCTGTTGGACTGCATCAGCTACCACTCCAGTTAGCAATTTGAAAGTTTTTGGTAAGCAGGTAATTAGCCTGTAGTTGCCTTTTGTTGGATCTTTCAATATCAGGTAGGTTTTGCCGGATGTTAACCAATCTTCAATTTCACCTCCTTGCAGTACGTTGTTAAACTGCTTGGCAATGAGTGGGTGCAGACCAGTCAGATGTTTCAACAAAAAACTATGCAGTTCATCTTCATCTGGTGCTGACCAATTCTTGATCTTCCTTGCCCTTTTCTCCACCATTTCTGCTGTTA